CATTAAACCACACAGGACTACGACCAATTATTACCAATCCACGTATGTATTCTCAATATATTGTGTCTCGGAATATACGAATATTAATACGATTATGAGATGCTCAAGTTCAAGTATGGCTGGTCTGATTAATGAGAAGTTTGTATATGTCTGATGAGATTAATTTGATGATCAAATTCGGAATGCTAAATGATCCTCACTGGATGTGAGGGAATTACCTAAATTGTATAGGACAGATGTGGCAATCTAGGGGTTGAACATTAGAACAACTGTTCAAAAAAGTCTCTTTTTTCACTTGGTTGAGATTAGATTTTTATTTCATGGTGCATAAACAAATCTGCCACTTGTTAAGATTGTTAATTTATTTTGTTCTGTGCGTTTTTAAGTCTAAAATCTCCCATCGTGATTATTTTCGCCAATCAATCCCTCATTAGATTAAGAAAATATATATTTCAGGCTAGAATTCCGTCTATGTGATACCATGTAAACTAAAAACGAAACATGGGAATGCATATATTTGAGATATAATTAGTTGTACTAAATTATTCATCATTATTAGTAGGGGTCCAAGGAGCCGTTTTGTTTTCTTCTTCTGTCGGTGAGAAAACCGCTGATGGTGATAGTCCCTAATTTGAGCTGGTGCACCTCGTGAATTTTGATCGGTCAATTGTTTCAGCAGTCATATTTGATTGAAATTATGCCACATTCTGAGGGTCTAGGTGATCGGATTCTTTAAGGCATAGTGCAACTTAACTGCAATAGATATCCGCAATAAAATCTTTAGCGGTAACGTAATTTTTTCCGCCATGTTTTTTTCTCTAAAAAGCTGCAAAGAAACACTTCTTCAATTTGGTTTTTAAGCATCTATATGTAAAGTACATTTAAGTTTGAAATTTGATTATGGTTGGTCGCCATGCTTCTAAAGAGGAAGTAGTTTTTTCACAGATGGTATATTTACATGATTATTTTCAGGTACGACAGACAGCTTAAAAAGAATTCAGATCAATCACGCGGTTAGGCTTTTTGAATTTTCAGCAAAAATTTTGTGAATTTGTTTCTCATAATTAATTTAACCGAACAACTTGATACTTGGCATGGAGCATGCATGGGCAAAACTTTTTACCAGAAAATTTAAAAAAAAATACAAGTCACGTGGTTTGACCGCCATCTTGGATTTTAGGCAGAAAATTATTAAAATGTAGAGCATTTGTTTCTCAAGAGTGTTTCAACCGATCAACTTGACAATGTGTATATAATATTTATGAACATACCTTCTTACGAAAATTATAAAATAATTCAGTCACATGGTTTGGTCGCCGTCTTTGATTTTGGAAAAAAATGTTTGGTAATTTTTTTATTGTGTATGCTTCAACCAGTCAACTTGATATTGTGTATATAACAAGTACCTTCCATGATATAACATGCATGGCCATAGTTGCGCAAAAAATAAAATAATTTCGACGGATCACATGGTTTGCCATCTTGGATTTTAAACAAGAATACCCAAAAGTTTGGGCATATGTTTCTCATGGGTGCTTCCGCCAATCAACTTGATATTTTGTATATAAAATGTATGGCCATATAACATATTACAAGAAAAATAATATAGTTTGGCCTCCATTCTGAATTCCTTCCAAACAGGAAGTATTTTTTTACTGATGCCACAGTTATCTTCTGGCACAAACAGAATAATCCGGATAAATCACGCGACTTGGCCGCCATCTTTGATATTTGTTTCTCTGAGTGTATTGTGCAATCAATTTGATATTTTGTACGTTTGTTTGGCTTTTTAAGGGGGAAAATGACCAGTCATGTGGTTTAGACGCCAGATTGGATTGGATTTCCACATTCCGCATTTGTTTCTCACGAGTGCTTAAACTATCAATATCATAATGTATTTTTGTACATGTCAGAAGCTTGGGTGAATAAGATTAAATGTATGTCACTACAAAGCTGTTCACGGCGCAGGCGCAGACTCGGAGACGGCGGCACGACATTTTACATGGGGGCGACATCTGCTCAATTTTGAAATTTAGATATTTTGTGGCCAATTTTGCTGACATACAAGGGTTTCAGCTTTATTTGGGGGGGACGCCCCTCAAACATTTTTTTCGAGTGCCGCTGCCACTGCAGCGTTAATTATTCAAATCTTATTGATCATTTTTTACAGAGTCAAGGGATTACTTGCAGCAAGCACTGGTTCCCAATAAATGGGCCAGTCATGATGGCGAAGATGTTATGATCTATGCTAAAGGTCCCATGGCTCATCTTTTCCATAGTACGCATGAGCAGACCTACATCATGCATGCTATGCAGTACGCAGCATGTATAGGGGATGATAACACCAATCAGTGTAAATCCAAAAATGAACCAATGACATGTGGTTCCATGAACATAATGACCAATTATGGGACAATGATGTTTATTGTTTTTGGTTTATTGATGCAATCGTAAAATTTAAATATGGTGATCTTATTAATTTTTAAAAGTAGACCTTTATTGGATTAATCATACACTGATGTTAATTTCACTGATACATTTTCACACCAAATTTTATTAAATTACTTGCTTTTTTTTTTGATTAATTTGTAAAATTGATATGTTATATTCTACATTTTAAAAAAGTCTACATGCAAATACGGGAGGGTCGTCACATGCGAACGCATGGGAATTGAGTCCCACGCGATGATAACACACGCTAAAAACGCAAAGGCTCATGGGTAGACTCTTGTTTGTAAACAATAACAAGCTATAGCCATCTGACGCATGCGCAGGTGACGACTCCGCTGCTTTAATTTTATGTAACGATGCTGTTTAATGCTTGAATGTTATTTGTAACATTAATATTTGTTATCTTCTATAATTTAATGAAAGAATGACATATGCATTAATTCTACTGAACAATATCGTTTGTTCATTGACTTGATTTCATTGATTCATTTGTAACATTTATATATTATTATCTCATATAATTTAATAAAGGACTAACACATGCACTGTTATTGTTTGTTTTTATGTAAACATTGACGAATATTGGTTAAATATTCGCCAAGCAAAAAATAATAGTTTAACGGATGATAACATTTGTTGCTTGTAGATGTCACGGATTGACATACATGACAGAAAGTTCATCTGTCAATGAGCTGCACAAAACATTGTGTGGATGAAATCGCAGTGGACGGATACTCAATGGATAGAGCATAATACATGCATATGCAATGAGTACACAACGGATGCATAGTTTTCCAATGGACAGCAACATTTTACAACTTTTGCATCCACAAGTGCAGTTGGACCAGGCCTCAAGGGACTGCTAGTCTCCAAAAATTTACAAGCTATTTTCCCAAATATGACATTGTCAGTTTAAAAATGCTAATATAATTACAAATTGTATAAACAAATTCTGTAAGCTGTTGAAAGTTGCCTAAGTCTTATTTTCATGGGAAGTTTTCCACTTCCACTGGCAACAAAATATGGCAAGTGATTAACAAAATAATGAATAAACAATTGGGCAATAGTGAATACCAAACCAGATGAATTTACTACAATTTATCACATCTTTTCATTCATCCACTTTGTCGATTTCTTTAAAAATATAATGTGCACAAACTTGATCGTAAATCCACTAGTGTTGACATCCACCCAAAAGTGGCTGCTTGAACATATTGCTGAGACTAGCCTGCTAAAGGGGGCATTTCCTGACAAATTAAAGGCGGCACAAGTGACCCCCATTTTCAAAAATAGATGCGCTTATGCCAATAAACGAGCGTTTCTTCCTTGAAAATTTAAGGTCCTGACAATTAGTGTGCGTTTCGAAAGCACCACAGCACTCGATCTGATTAAAATCTGATGTAGTGTACGGGCTGTAATTATTTTGGTTATAAACTTTATTTTGATTTT